TTATATCCACAATATGAAAAATATTTTTAATATAACTGAATATCTTGCAATATTTTTTCCCTGAACAAAACAAAACATCCAAGAAAAAGTGCAGCTAGGAGCAGTTAATATTAAAGAACTGGAGGTGCATTTAGGTTGGAAAAGACCTCAAAGGACACTGAGTTCAACCATTTATTTCCCCATTACAGTCCTATAAAATCTTATACTTTGAACTAAATTAAAACTACTATAAGGTCCAATTGCACCTGTTCATGTTTTTCTTGAATATTTTAAAGAAACCAGAAAGACTGCAAATGTAAAAGTTCATTAAAATACCAAGATTCTCGTGACTGAATCCACGTCCCTGCTCCTGCCTGTGCTGCAGACACTGTCCATCCTTTTGGGATACGTGTCCCTGCTCCAGCATCCCAAACTGATCACAGCTGAGACTTCCCTACAAGGTACTTGCTTAACTCCATGTGCCAGTTTTCCACTTCCATCAGGAATGGAAACAATCAGGTTTTATTCATGCTTTACACAGCAGTAATTGAGAGCAGCACAACGAAATGTCTAATCAAAGATTATCCCACCCAGGAGTCAAGAAGAACCCAAATCTTCCTTCCAGAATGGATTTGCCTCTCTTCTCCCAAGAACCTAACAGAAAACATTTGCCTCCATCCTCTACTCCTAAAAGCTGTAAAAAATGAGACAAAGGTATTACAATCAGTAGAAGTCAAATAACAAATAGCAAATCCAAGCACTCACGATGCAAGAAACATCAGATTTAAGTCAACATCAACTGTGTTCCTCGACTGCCCAGCTGAAGGTGTCATCTTTGTGCTTTTATCATGCAAAGATTGGACTTCCCTGCACACCTGCAGAGAGAGCCATGTGGGATGAACAGCAAGTTCTGTATCCTAATCCTCCTGAACTTTTCTGTATGGCACTGCAACCCAAATACATCTTTAAAAAACTTGACTTCTGAACCTTCAACAAGTAAGGATAAAGCCACTGATCTTTAAGGAAAGCCTTTACTTCAGCCCTTGTAGGAGTTCCTCAGGGAAGACAGACTACACTTTCCCTGTCTCAGGGGAAAAAAGAGCACTGTTCCCCTATTTCAGCAGCTTCCACTGTTCCTGGAGAAAGGTGGCTCTTTCCTCACACGTGGTCCTAGATATCAGCCCAGCTGCTGAAACCAGAGGCACTGACAGGGGAAATCTGGTTCATTTTCCTCCAAAACATCTGGGGGAAGATCCAGCAAATGATGGCTCTGGGATAGGGAAAGAAAAATCCTGCTGGACTGCCAGGCTGCAGAAGTGGCCTCGAACCTGCACAGCTCTGTGTGTACCCACCAAGGCAATCTCACCGAAGAACATTTCAAACATTGCCTCCTCCCTTTTTGAGAATGGAGAAATTACTCAGTTGTCAAGGGGCGAGAATCAAAGAACTTGCAAATTTAGATGAACAGTTGGGTACATTTTTCAGACACTCTTCCTTCTATTTTTAAAGAAAGCAATTCATAATCCATTTCGTATTCGCCAGTTATCACTTTCAACACTTCTTAATGAGTTGCCAAAAGTAACTGCCAGCTTTTGCAATTTCTTTGGCATGTTATTTAATATCCTGTGTTTTACATCTGACTACACAGCTCACAGCAGACTTTCTCCACACAACAATTATGTGAAGTGTATATACAAATTAACACTGAAAACAATCCCTTAGCTGAGTAACTTGTGACACTTCACACTGGCTATGAAGTGGAACAATCTCAAGAAAAGCAGCCATCAGACCCATGAAACACGAAAGCCATGCCTTTGCCTCACACATCCTTCATAAGGTATTATTTCCTACACTCCTTAAGGCAGACTGAAAATGTCCACTGTGTAGACTTTCTACTTAGGTAAAAGTAGAGTAAAACACACACTCAGAGACCAAAGTACAATACCAAGTTCTACACATTTAAATCACCCTGCATTTTAATCCAAATAAAGGTATCTTAAAATAGCTGAAGACATAGTAATAAATGTGAGCTTTGCACAGTAAAACAACAATCACTCCACTAACATATCAGAAAGGTTAAAACTGCACAGCCTGCCATGTTCATCCATCTCACAAAATACTTTGCAGGACTCAGGCAATTAATGTTTATTTTCTGTCTCTCTTGAGCTAATGGCACCAGAATTCTTCTGTGTTTCAGTCACAGTGACTCCTAAATATTATACTTTATAGACATAAAAACATAAGACATTACTTCTGATTAATTTTAAACTTCTGAAAATTTTAATTCACAATATATAGCATTCTGACACATCAGAAATAGGCTGTGAAAGAAAACAGCTTCATCATAAACTCACCTAAAAGTCATTTTTCAGTACATACAATTTCCTGTGTTTTAGAACTTGATACCCCTATTGATTAATTATAATGACTACTCCAGCAAATAACTGACATTTCCAAAACCTGAGCATAATATTTGTCACCAGTGAAGAGTCTCTGGATATAAACCATCCACCGACTCAAAAAAAAGTCTTGTGCCTAGTTCTGATAAGATAAACCTTCAGAATTTAAACCTTTATGACCTGGTTTTAAAAGGCTGTCAGCCCCAATTTTTAAAGACCACTCTAAGGTCAAACATATCTAAAACACAAGCACTGCCACATTGAAAGAAGAGCCTGCAGATCACAAGCAGAGTCAGGGAAGTTCAATGTGAATTTCCCAAGGACAATAATAATTAACCCTGTTAATTAGAACAAATACAGAAATGATGCAGTACAGTTTGGGCAGCTACCACAAAGATCTGCCAGAGGACCTGAATCCTGACAAGCTACAACCTCCTGATTCTAATCCCACTACATGAAAATAATCAAACTTTTGCATCCTGCAAGATATTTATCGTTCATAAAGCCTTGCTGGTTTCCCCTATTAATACAGGGGAAAGGAGGATCTATAATGCAGGTGGGTATTTATCTGGACAGACCCTGCACAGGAACAATTACACCTGAACCCCTCCAGATTTCAGCTGACTCTACAAATACATGAACATGCACTACCCTCATGGTTTTATTTTCATATAAATCCCTCAAGTCAAATTACACTCTCTGTACAACCCCAACTGCCTCACAGAGCTAGAGAACAGCTGCCTGAGGCCAGCATGATCAACATTTGCTGTGCACACATCTTAAAGCTGAGCTGGGGATCCTCACTGCCCTCTGAACACAGAGCCAAGCAGTCAGTCTACATGTCTGCATCCTTCCTGTTCTATGTGCAACACTGGTGTGTTCCTCAGAAATTCACAAATGACAAACAATTTGTTAATATCTGATGGGAATTTTAAATCTGTATGTTGGCCACAGCAATTACAGTCACATAAAAACCACCAGCATGGAAGAGAAACACCTAAAGTTAACTCATTTGAACAGACTGAGAGGATATTCTTGCTCCAGTCCCACCCAAAACTTTGGTTGTGCACTTACACTGTGCACTTGTCTCAGGATCCATTGCTAGAACGTGTGCTTGCAGCAACCACTAAAGAACTGATTGTACTGAGTCACAAAGAAAGCCCCAAACAACCAAAGACAGACACACAAACTCAAAAGAACTTGTCTGCAATTTTGTTGTCATCAAACTAGTAAAAAAAAAACATCTCAAGATGAGCGCAGGCTTCTGTGTTTCTTTTTCCTGGAATACATTTCTCTTTGAAGGGTTCTTCAAGTCTTCTTATCCTTCCAGATATCCCAAATTTAAACATCAAATTACTGCCTTTTGTGCAAAGAGTTCTTTTACAAATTTCATCCAATCCTACACTTACCTCTTTTCTGAGAGCACAAAGTTCTTCCAAGTGTTTCCAGGCTTTTATTTATGTCTTTCCTTGAGACACATTCCATTGAGCTACAGTCTTAGTACTGACACTCAGTTCTAAAACTTGCACTGTAGTTGGCTACTCTGTGGTTTAGATTGCCTCTATTTATTAATTTCCTTTCAATTCTCTGATTTTATTCTGCCTTCCTTCTCTTCTGAAAAGTTTGTCATTGTTTTCAGTTTTTAATTAAACAATAATATTTGAGAATGTAAACATGCATTATATATATATATATATACACACATATATATACACATATACATAATGGGTCAGTCATCAAATGTTAAATACTGGAAAATACCTGTTAAAGTTGTTTCAAGCAACTTATACAACTGAAAAATAATACAGGCACCCTCTTCATCTCCTTAGGCAAAAATGCCTAAACTCTGACTAAACATCTCTAAACAGTTGCCCTGTACTAACATCCAAAAATGTTTGCCTCTCCAATTTAGTAAGATATTCAGCTCTAGCCCCAAATGGTCCAAACCTAAACTGCCTCCCTTCAAACTTTTAAACCAGTGAAGCTTCAAAGTAACTTAAAATACAGTCCACCCTCACCCCTGCAACTCAATCAGCCTGAGTTGAAATGAGCACACCCCACTCAAGAGTTTGGGATAGGAGAGCACATTATCCTGTCAATCCTTGGAGAAAACAAAGAGCACTCATGACACAGACAAAACTTTCAGTGTAGACACATCACACTCAGAGGTGAATCACAGGAATCAAACTTTTGTTTTGAATAAAGTATATTTAAAAACTTAATTACTGCCAATCCTTGTATAGAATGTGCTTGGCTTTTTCTTTCTAATGTCCAGTGAAATCCAGTTATGCCAGGCAGCCATTCAGCATACTGGGATACCACAGTCCTGATTCAGAGCACCAAGGGGCACTTCCCAAACCAGTGACACAACCCAAACTACAACTGAGCTTTCAGTGATCTCAGTCTGAACAAGGTCTTGAGGGACTTCGAGGGACTCTATAAAGCAGATTTTTTTCCTGAAATAAATAAAAATCCTCAGAAGATGAACTACATTTCAGTATTTCCTGTTTCCACAACACAAAGGGGACGAAGACAAAGTTGCACCAATATATTGAGCTGATGATGTGCAAGACAGAGTAAAACACAACACACCGGAGTGACATGAAACCAAGCCAGACATACCTGAGCCGCTGACAGGCGAAAAACAGGGCCAGTGGTGGGCACAGAAAGCCTGGGTGACAGGTTGGCAGGGCCCTGTGTCTGTGTCTGCACCTGAGCCTGCATCTGAGCCTGGGCTAGAGCCTGCTGGGGCACCATCACCAGCTGTCCCGCGTCCGTGCGCACCAGCACCATCCCTGGGAACAAGGGGACAGGGATTGTAGGACATCAACACAAATAATGTGAAGAATAACATACAAAGAACTGCGTGACTGCAGAATAGAGAATAAAATCCATGTAGAGCACCGCACATTTTTCCCTCTGCTGTATTCCTTTTTATTCTCACGTAACACGAGATTTAATTTCAAAGAAGAAGAGGAAGCACAACCAGCAGCCAAAACCTCATAGCCAATTCAGTTTGGAATTCAAATAACTGCAGTTTATGGGTAGCAGTGACAAAAAAAGCAGTCACTTGAGTGTACGGGTGTACAGCAACTGTAAGCAGTCTAGTCAGGTCAGAATAAAATTAGAAAGAAAATGCTCATTAAAAGTGAACTACACCAACAATGCAGCAGCTGAGAACAGAACTCAGTGTTTCATTTACCAGGGACAACGACCTCAGAGCTCCACTGAAACAGCAGCTCATGGGCATATGTCCATGCAAACATTAGATCAGACACATTTCTGAGTATACAATATTGGAGATTTACTGAAACACTCAGCATTAACAGATGAACTGATTTGGTGCCCACCCTGCCATCCCCACCATCTTTGGAGGCACTACCTGTGGTTCAGTCATCAGGAACAAACAGTTCCCTGTCAGTGCCTGAGAACCAACACAACCAACCCTCAGCACACAATGATACCAGTGCAGCAATGTTAGGAAAACAGCAACGGAATTGTTTTAAAATTAACAATTTCTGGAAGAAAATTCTAATTTTTCAGATTATTTTCTTGTAAAACAGCTCACAAATAGGGGCCTTCTACACAACATAGCCACTGCCATCGAGTTGTGCACTAAGTTTTCTGGTCAGCAGGGCAGTGAAGGGGAGACAATGGCTAAGCTGGTACCTGGATCACCTGGACTTCACACTTATTCAAGGTCACTGCAAAGCATGCAATGATCTTCCTCTAGTTCACTCAGAACTAAAAAAACAGTTACCAGACAGAGTATTTAAAGGGAAATTCCAAGTTAGCTCCAGAATACACTTTAATAATGTAACCTACATAGGATACAATGGGTCAAATAAACAGAAAAACATCTTGCTTGCAGCTACGAGAGAACCAAAAAAATAAGAACCCTTTTATTCTGCTGTCAACAGTCAGCAGACATTGTTTCCACAACTTATTTCCATGTGCAAATCGCTTCATATATACTTTTTAGCTTTTTAAAGGAAAACGAAGAAGGTCCCCATTAAAGGGACACAAAATCACTTGATGACAAAGCAATTCAAACACCAGTGTAACAAATTTCAGAACCCTATACCAAGAAAGTCTTTCTTTCAGTTTCTGACATAGAAAACCAAGTCCCAGATGTGGGATGAACGTGTGAGCGAACTGCAGCACCAATAAAAGCCCGCCCTCACACAGTCTTGGGTGTCCCCTGCCAGCCTTCACTGCTACAAACACAAACAGGCAAATTTCTGCCACTACAAACTGAAGATTCGTGGAAAACGAGGTTTAAGGTAGCAGGCAGAGCTACAGCAAGGACCACATCCAAACTCCAAACCCTTAATCACAACTCCCTTTCAAAGCAAAGAGTAATTAAAAAAAAAAAAAAAAAAAAAAAAAAAAAAAAAAAAAAAAAAAAAAAAAAAAAAAAAAAAAAAAAAAAAAAAAAAAAAAAAAAAAAAAAAAAAAAAAAAAAAAAAAAAAAAAAAAAAAAAAAAAAAAAAAAAAAAAAAAAAAAAAAAAAAAAAAAAAAAAAAAAAAAAAAAAAAAAAAAGTTGAAAGAAACCCCTTAAAAAAAACCCTTAAAAACTCTTTTAAAAGGTAACCTTTAAGGTCCATTAGCCACTGAAGCATAAACTTCCCAGTTTTTATCTGTAGAATGTTCTGCAAGCAGATGATGTGTTTGGTATATGCCATTCCTAAAACATCTGGACACTGCAATATGTTGGTCAAACAGGTTATCGCTTCTCTGATTATGTTGTAAACCTGAATTAAAAAAAATCCTCACAGGATAATCCTGCCACACGTTAAAAAATTCACATTTGCATTACACAGGTTCACAGGTGTGTTGTTAATTTATCTTCCCATTTTCTAAACCTTTATTCTCAATAGGGGAAAATTGAATGGAAAGGACAAATTAAATGCAGCACATGCCACACAACCTCAATTAAAGTTGCAGACGTAATTACTACTACAGAGGCATAAATGTTCATGTATTAACATTATGTTTAATTCAGTTTGGAGGGCTACAAATTCCTTTTGCTGAGTAGTATGTACATTAGAATTTGGTCATTATGAGACTATTTTACCTTCCCGTCAGCCAGTTAAAGATGAAATACACAACTTATGAGTATTATTCACCAGAAAAACCTATTCTCAAAAACTGATTCTAAATTTCTGCTTTATGCAGAAGGTTGCAGTATGGGAGTTTCAGATTAATTACAAATGATCCACCAGTTTAAAAACTCAAAAACACCACTGCATTTTCTGAGTAACTTCACATTAGAACATACTCTCTTCATGTTTTTGCAAATTTAATGGATTTCCAACTATCTTGTAACGAAATCAAACTCGAATTATAACTTTCCAGAGTGTTATTTACTTAACATTTACTAAACCCTGGGTTAGACCGTTTTCAAAGGCTCCGTTTTCCCTCTTCTGTGTGAGAGTAACAGGTCAAAGTATTGGCACAATGAACTTCAGAGACTGTGTGCAAAGTTACAGTGCACATTATCATATGCACACAGCAATTCTGGACAGACTGACAACAGCGAGTCAAGTCTGAAGAGCAACTTCAAGTAAGTTGGGTCTTCGTGAAACCAGCAAGCTTTGCATGTTTGGAGCATCAGAATCTGGGGGATCTTTCATAAACTATGGCCAAATACACAACTACTACCCAGTCAACCTAAAGGAAAGCTTCTAGACCATCCCACTGTTGCTCTACTTAGGCAATAAGTATCAAATATTTTAAGAAACAAGATGGTAGAAGTAAGTTATCTCAGACACTGATATTAACAGGGGAAAAAAAGCAGTTCAAATGTTAAGTCAAATCCTAAGTCAAAAAGACACGAAGATATCCAAGCCTTTGCAACACGAAAGTCAAAATAGGGGACCATAGAACTCCTCAGATGAAACAATATAGAGTTAGATCAGGAATCACTGGGATGAAGGGATGCTGCTTTGGTTAGACAGCAACCTTGCTGAACTTACATTTTTAGTAACGAAAGTTAAGAAACTTAGAGCAGCACAAACAGGACATAACAGTTACCTCAGAGTTGGAAATGAAATGTGAAGACTGCCCTGACACAGCAGACAATGACACCACCGCAATCACTGAAAATTCTACATTGCACAGATTTGCCTGTATCCTGCCACCTGATTTGCAGCACAAGACATGCTTTCCAGCAGCAAAACTTTTTCAAGACTATCACGTGTAAAGCAGAAAAGAAAGTCCTCCCAAACGTATATGAAGTTATTCTTAGCTAACACCCCAGCTTTGTGTCCGGTCCCACCTCGGGGTAACTCACCGTGACTGCCGCTGACCCCAGGACACTCCAGTAACTCACCCTCAACAGCTGCAATTACCGAGCACGAGCCGCGCCAGTGACACCCTAATTAGCGGCAGCCCGTGGCGGTGGCTCTTCTCCGGTTTCCAGCACGTCGAGCAGCGGGAAGGTGATAACTTCAGGGGGAGAAAAGCCCTGGGGCCAAGAACGTGAGACGGCGCGGGGAGCGCGGCGCTCACTTACCGGGCGGGATGGTGAAGCCGGGCGGCAGCTGGATGGTGGTTTGCGGGGGGGGCCGCACGATCAGCTGCGGGGCCACGATGCGGGGGGGGGCAGCGCCCAGCGCGGGCCGCGGGGACACGGGCTGGGGGGCGGCGGGCAGGGCAGCGCCAGCGCCGGGCTTGGCGGGCCCCGCGGGCTTGGGCGCGGCGGGGGCTGTGGGGGCCGGCGCGGCGGGCGCGGGGCTGGCGGAGGCGGCGGGCGCGGGCAGCGCTGCGGGCGGCGGGGCGGCCCCGCTGGCGGGCGGCCCCGCGGCCGGGCGGGCCCCCGAGCCCTCCCCGGTGGGCGCCGCCTCGCCGGGGCGCGGCGCGGGGGCAGCGGCGGCGCCCTCGGCCGCTCCCCCCGCCCCGCCGCCCCCCGCCGGGGCCCCGCCGCCCGCCGCGGGCCCGGGCGCGCTGTCGGCGGCGGGCGGGCTGGGGCCGGGGCCGGGGCTCCCCGCGTCCCGCCCGGCGCCGGCAGCCACATGGTTGTTGACAGGCGGGGCAGGGGCGGCGGGCGGCGGCGGGGCGGGCGCGGCGGGGCTGCCGCCGGCGGGCGCCGCTCCATGTGATTGCTGCACACTACTACTGTTTACACTCGCTGCCCGCCCCGCCGCCGCCAGCGCCGCCGGCGGGGACGGGGCCGGCGGCGGCCCCGCGGCGGGGGCTCGGCTGCCCGCGGTGCCGGGGCGCCCCGCCGCCTCCCCGGGGCCGGGCGCGGGAGGGGACGCGGGGCGGCCGTGCTGCTGCTGCTGCCGGCCGGGGCTGCTGCCCCCCGCCAGGCTCCCCTGCTGCTGCGGCGGCGGCGGCTGGGACGGGGCGGAGGTCCTGGGCGCGGGCGGCTCGGCGGGGCCGCGGCCGCCCGCCAGCTGCGATTCCAGGGATCCCACCAGGTCGCTGAGCGCCTTCTCATCCACCTCCTCGGAGAAGAGCAGCATCTCTTCCAGGGGGTCCGACGCGCCCGCCGCCATCTTGCGCTGAGCTGGGAGCCGGCGCCGCGGCGCGCACGCGCGGGGCTCTGCCGCGCGCGGGGCACCATGGGAGGGGCGGCGCCTCCGCCCCGCCCCGGGGACGGACCGGGAACAGTCGGGGATGGATCGGGAACCCCGGGAACACTCAGGCATGACCCGGGACCGCCCCAGTGTCCGCCCGTGCGCCATCCCCGGGGCCCAGAGCGCCGCAGAGCCCCGGAGAAGCCGCGGGCAGCACGGTGTGCTGGGCAATGCCGCAGGTGCGGGCCGTGCAGCAGCCCCTGCCCCCCGGTACCCGCAGGGACCCCTCGGGCCGGGCCCAGCCCGGGGCCGCACCCCTGCCCTTCGCCTCCGCTCGCCCCGTCCCGTCCCGCCCGGGGCAACCGCCGGACCCGCCTGGGCTGCCCCGCACCGGCCCCTGGGCGCGATCTGCGCTGCGGGAGCTGCCCCGGCCCCTGCTGCGGGCTGCGTGTGTCCCAACCAACAGCGGCTGCAGGGATACAGTTTCCTAGCGGGGACGCTGTTGGAAGAAGACGACTTGTAAACCAAAAATAAGACTCTTTGCATCCCCGCAGCAGCTGCTCCGGCGTGCTGATCCCGCAGCATCCCCACGGGAGATGGAAGGTAGTTCATTTTGTTACTAACGCTTCGGCCGTCGCACTCCTGTGTGCCCTTTTCCCATCAACACTTCCTCACGCACTCGGAAATACCATTTAAGAGAAAGACAGTGGTCTTAAATCACCATTTTATAACTAATGACAGGGCAGTGTCTTTGATGGGACCCTCCAAATGAAAAGTTTCCCCCTCTGATGGGGGATCCCCGCAGATTTGTGCTCCAGGCAGCAGACAGATGGGATTGCAGCTCTGTCCCTGCTGCCCTGCAGGGGGGACTGTAACTGAGCTGTACTTGAGCTGCTGCTCTGTGGTCTGAAACAGTGAATCACCCTTCATTTTCTGATTTTTTCAGGATTTCCCACAAAACTGTATCAGGTATCTCAGTGAATAACCCCCCCCAATCTCACTGCACTGGTGGAAGCAAGTGAAGGGCTCTCAGTGCTCTCAGCTCCTCTCCAGCCCCAACTCCATCTGTTCATACCCTGTACAACCCTCTGGAGTCACCACACTAAGCTGCTCTGTTACCTTCTCTTTCCTCTCAGTGAAGGTCACATTTTTATTCAGGGTAGTTTTTTCCCCATTGTCCTTTAGGAGTAGGCTTGTGATGAATCAAAATAAACCACTTTTAAACACATTAAATATAGGTTGCACCAGTTTAATTAGGATAAGTTGAAACGTCTCCCGAAATTCAACCAGTGCATATTTCTTCAATAAAATGGCCAGTAAAATATTGAAAACCCAAAGGTGTGGTCAGGATGTATGAGCAGGAGATGGTGCAGTAAGTGAAGGGGAAAGCACAGCAGTGGTTATGAAAGGCAGCATTAAATGTACACAAGAGGTCTATACATCAAAAATTTGCTTAGCAAAGAAGTACTGCTTTCGTGGAGTGCTACAGCTGAATTAAATTTGGATTTTTAACAAATGTTTCTACCTGGAAACTTAATTAAAACATAGTGGATGCTGTGACTCAGTTTGCTATTGCACAAATAGAAAGAATAATTATTTCGGTTGGAAAAATATCTATCTATCCAATACTACTTTGTTATGAGTCACACATTTTCTTGATTTTATCACAGCACATTTCATACCACCACTTGCCCTGATCCTGGACTTTATTTGCATACCATCATCTCCAGAATTTTCATAAGAGAATGGAAAATTAGACATGTGATTC